TCTCCGCACCATCCGCCAAGACGTCGCCCATCTTGCTGGTGAGTCTGTGTCTTTCTATGTAGCCCCACTAGCACACCCGAAAGAGCGCCACCTTATTAGAGACGCCTATACAGCAGGCCAACTTGCTTTAGCAGAGCAATCCTACCCCATGGCTGCACTACAGGAACGTTACCGCCATCTACAGGGCCTCCCACTCCCAGAATTTAGTGGAGTGCAACCACTGCTACTAATCGGCGCAGATTGCACCCACCTGATCACAGCTGCAGAGCCAGTGAGAGTTGGGCCCAAGGGCAGCCCGACGGCTATCCACACAAGCCTTGGTTGGGCACTTCAAGGTCCAGACAGTATGGTTTCTACTGCTGCTTCCTGCTACTTTACCTCCCTCACACCAGCCCCAGATGACCTCTACCAACATGTCGAACGTCTCTGGCAGCTAGACACCCTCCCATTTCGAAACGAGAAGCTAGCAGTCCGATCCCGTCTTGACCAAGAAGCCATCAACATCCTTGAGACACGCACCGAAAGAGTCAAAGTGGTCGACACACTCCGCTATGCCACACCACTACTCCGTATCAAAGGGGCACCACCACTCAAGGCCACACCTGAAGCAGTCATCCCCCTTCTCCGTGGCACAGAGAGGCGACTACGAAGAGACCCAGTTCTAGCTAAACAATACGAGGCAGAGATCCAGAAGCTCATCAGTGGAGGCTGTGTTGTCAAGCTCGGTGAAGACGAGGTAAAGACATCCAATGAGTCATGGTTCATACCCCATCACCTCGTTCACCACAACGGCAAGCCCCGTCTCGTTGGGACTGCTCCTTCGTACATAATGGCCTCTCACTCAATGAACAGCTCCTCGCAGGTCCCACCCTCGGTCCATCTCTCATTGGTGTCCTCCTGCGATTTCGTCAGTATGCAGTGGCCATAAGTGGGGATATTCGAGCAATGTTCCACCAGGTTCGTCTCCTGCCAGATGACCAGCCCCTACTGAGATTCGTCTGGAGAAACCTACAACGAGAACAGCAACCGCAGGTCTACCAGTGGTGTGTCCTCCCATTCGGGACGACTAGTAGCCCCTGCTGCGCCACGTTTGCGCTGCAAAGACACACCAAGGACCACGTTGAAGGGCATGAGGACATCCTGCAGTCCATTGAACAGTGTTTTTACGTTGACAACTGCCTGCAGAGCCTCTCAACGCCCGAGTCAGCAAAGGCTCTCATCGATAAGCTAAGGCAGTTCCTCGCTTTGGGTGGTTTTGAGATTCGGCAGTGGGCAAGCAACGTCCCATCTGTCGTCGCCCATCTACCCCTACTGCCCGCTCCGAGAGTGCAGAGCAATGGCTGGCAGAAAAGGCCCTGACCCGCAAGAGCCAGCGCTGGGCCTGCGCTGGTATTGTCCAACTGACCAACTCGGCTTCCGAGCCAAGCCTCCGGAGAGTCAAACACTCACCATGCGCCACGTCTACAAGGTGCTCGCCCGGCAATACGACCCGCTTGGGATCATCATCCCTTACACAACAAGAGCTAAAGTTCTCGTTCAAAGGTTGTGGGCCAAGAAGAGGAGCTGGGATGACCCTAATCTTCCTCCAGAGATCATCAAGGCCTGGTCGAGCTGGGAGAGTGAGCTTCCTGAACTGGCTGGTGTGTCCATTCCCCGAACATACGCTCCATCGGAAGTGGCTACTGAAGCTACAGAGTACACTCTCCATGTCTTCTGTGACGCCTCGGAACAGGCGTATGGTTCGGTCGCTTATCTCACCACAACCACCGTCAACAAGGCAGTGCACGTCTCTTTCGTCATGGCCAGGTCAAGAGTAGCCCCAAAACGCCAACAGTCAATGCCACGTCTAGAGCTCTGCGCAGCGCTAACAGGGGCTCAGCTGTCCTCCCTCATCCATCGAGAGCTCACTCTAAACATCACAGAGACTTATCTTTGGACCGACTCCACTACAGTCCTGACCTGGCTGACATCTGAGTCCTGCAGGTTCAAGGTCTTCGTTGGGACCAGAGTCTCCGAGATCCAAGACCTGACTGCTTCTCACACCTGGCAGTACGTAGATACGGTAAACAATCCGGCTGACGACCTAACGAGGGGTAAGACCTTGGCCGAGCTAACCACTTCAAATCGATGGATCCAGGGTCCAGCGTTCCTCCGCTCTCCACCACAAGAATGGCCTTCGGTTCCAGACTCTGTCAACCCAGCAGATACCTCTGAGCTCAAGCAGACAATCTTCTGCGGCCTTATGCAAACACGCCCTCCAGACCCACTTCTAGACACCTCACAGTTCAACAACTGGGCAGACCTGGTTAGGGCTACGCACCAGTCGCTTCACGGGGCGGCCGCAGACCCATTATCAGGGCCTCCTAATCTCCGTCACGCGGAGGTCCACCTGCTGAAGACCAGCCAAGCAGAGAGCTTTCCTGAAGAAGTCAAGCGCCTAAAGGCTAGTAAGCCTGTGTTCCCCAGCAGTAAGCTGAGTTCACTTGCACCAGAGATAGACCCGGAGTCTGGTCTTATTCGAGTTGGAGGTCGACTTAGGAACATTGAATCCGGTCCTACTGACATCCACCCAGTTGTGCTTGATCCTAGGCACACTGTCACGGGACTCCTCATCAAAGACATGGACGCACGCCTGCTCCACCCGGGCCCAGACAGAGTCTTCGCCGAGCTCAGGCGGCAATACTGGATCCTACGTGGGAGACAAGCCGTGAAGAAATATCAGAGAACCTGCTTGGAGTGCACCAAATGGAGAGGAAAGCCTTCGGTCCCCACGATGGCAGATCTTCCTCCGGCCCGCCTGCGACTCCTAAAGCCCCCCTTCTACTCCACAGGAGTTGACTGTTTCGGTCCATACATCATTAAAGTTGGACGCCGGAACGAGAAGCGATGGGGAGTGATCTTCAAGTGCCTCACGACACGCTGTGTCCACCTAGACCTGCTGGCAGGCCTCGACACAGACACTTTCCTCTTGGCACTGAGAAGGTTCGTAGCACGAAGAGGAACCCCCGCCGAGATACTCTCAGACCAAGGGACTAATTTTCGAGGGGCCGAGAGGGAGCTTAAAGAGGCCTTTGCGGCTATGGGCCCAGATCTAAAGGAGAGACTCATCAAGAACCAGATTAAGTTTCAGTTCAACCCACCAGCAGCGCCTCACTTCGGCGGTGCTTGGGAGCGTGAAATACAATCCGTCAAGAAGGCTCTCCAAGTGGTTGTTGGCACACAATCACTCTATGAAGATGTCCTTCTCACCCTTCTGATCGAAGTTGAGGGCATCCTCAATGCAAAGCCCTTAGGCTATGTCTCGTCAGACATAGCTGATCCCGATCCAGTGACGCCTAACATGCTGCTGATGGGGCGGAGGGACGCCTCCTTACCACAAGTGTCATACGCTCCTGACACCCTCACGAGACGACGTTGGTGCCACTGTCAGATGATGGTGGACCACTTCTGGGCTCAGTTTCTTAGACATTACCTTCCTTCCCTACAAGTCCGTCAGAAGTGGCGGCGGCCCACTGATGACATCACTCAGAGCACGGTTGTCATGATTATCGATCCCCAGCTTCCGAGAGCGCAGTGGCCCATCGGGAAGATCGTCAAGGTGATTGAGAGTGCAGATGGCCGTGTCCGGTCGGCCGAGGTCCGAGTCGGGGAGAAGACCTACCTACGGCCAGTAGCGCGTCTGGTCCAGCTGCCGGCCATTTCAGATGACGACGGAACCAGTTCAGGGACTCCAGCAGCACCTTCGGGAATTTAGTAGTCTTTACATAATAGCTAGGCTATTCTGGGGGCGGCTGTTGTAAATTCCCTATTATTACTGTTTGTGGTGCAGGATTTGTTCAGTGCTGAATTTAGTGTTTTGCATCAGGCACCTCGTTAGGCAGCTAAGGGGGTCCTTATAATATTCAGCCGTTCACGGCATTCTTGTTTATTTTACGTCAATACCTGTCTGCGTTTGTGATGAAGATACCAGTACAGAAAGAGAGTCAATCAGTCCAATGTGAAGTCTCAGACAGAACAGATAATAGAGATAAATTCTAATGAATCAAACTGTAAACAGCAAACCAGGAACACAGAGCTGTATTTCATTTGGAGTTGTGCTTCATCAGTAAAGCAGAGTTAACAGTCCTACTGTGTCCGGCCTCGCTCTCTAATCGGAGTGTCTGTGTGGATGAGGTGTTCCAGCGAATCCCCCTAGAGCAACATACAGTCATAGCTCTCACCAACAATATTTATAAGGTAGTGAGGACTCAGTCGCTCAACATCAAGGCAGTTACAGTTTATTGGTTTCAACTTTTAATGAGCTGGTTCAGAAAGTGATCAGCCTTTCACTGGAGAGGGGAGCTGTGCTTTATCTTCAGAGAGGCACCACTGATCCGCAAGCCGCTCTGAGAAACTTGATAAATATGGGCTCAAATCTGAACCCCTTTCCTTCATCAGAAAGATGGGCTCCCAGCCCCCAATGTGAACACAACAGAGATGATGAGAGACGGCCAGATCTTTTCATATCGTCACGAGCTTCCACAGAATTTTCTCTGTTATGTTAAGCTGAAAGCATTGCATCCATAATTGGTGAATCGTGTTGGATATTATCTGGACAGCCCTGTCCTTGTCACACAGGAGTGGAGAAACATACTCTTTCTCATATAGATTTCTCTTGTTTTTGCTGAACTATTCATTTTTGTAGACTTGGTAACAGACAAGTCTGTCCAGAAACCCGTGACTGAATTAATAATGACAGAATCTGAAAAAAGAAAAATGAGAACTTACATAAGCCACCATATGTCTGAGGCAGACACTTTTCTGAGGCTTGAAACTTCCCTGCACTTTCAGACCCACACTGAGAGTTGTACAGTAGCATGTGATTCCTGTTGCACTTGCTTTACTAATCAACAACTTGTATACACATCCACACACAACGATTTCCTCTGAGACCCCTCACTCCACCCTCCACAACAGTAAGAAGCATCACAGAAGGCTGAAGTAAAAAAAGGAGTTGAAGGATGGGTGAACCCCCCACAAACACGCACACACACACACACACACACACACACACACAGGGATCTTGTTGCGACACTGAGGGGAGTGTGTGAGAGAGATAAAAAGAGGATGAACATGATCAGAAGGGATAAAGCCTCGTAGAGTCCTTGGCGGTATCTCCCTCAGTCAGGCAAGACAAGCTCACATGTACACGCGTCACATGCACGTAACTCAAAGGTAACACTTTTCTCCCCTTGTACCGTAAATGCTTTTTTCTCATCCAGTCCGGCAACTGGGAGCAGCTGCATTCTCTGTAGTAAATGCAACGGTCCTGCAAAAGCAAGTCAGACAACTGAATGAGTCTACAGTGTGTAGCATGTAATGCAATGGATCATAAACATTGCAGCAGGTTTGTGTGAATAGAGATCACTGACTTTTATTGCAGCCTAGCTGACAGGGCCTTTCAGAACATCCTACTCTTTCTTCAGGGTATCTGTTTATCTTCAGGGCATCTGTTTATATCTGAGAAATACTTGTTTTTGTGGATTTTTCACTGTGCAGTGTGTACCTCAGTGACTGGTTTTCGTGTGGCTGATTTTCCCTGACATTTTTTGTTGTTTGCATTTTGTTGGGAGTGAAGGTAAAATATAGATACATTCTGTGTGTTTCTTCCAGTCGAGTTCGATGACTGTGCGGGGAACGAGGACGTGAAGTTTGACGTGTCGGACGCCAGCTTCCACGTGGACCGGGATCTCAATCTGGTTCCTCTGCGAGATGTCCTGTCCAGCAGGCCAGTCCTGTTCATCCACGGGCTCAGTGCACATGCAGATGACGTGGCGCAGGTGGAAGTCACTGGATTGCCGGTTCATTCGCCTCACAATCTTAGGGTTAGTGGAAATTGCTGCATGTGTGTTTTAAAAAACAAAAAAAATTACAGTTACACTTCATTAAGGACGGAAAAGGTTACTGTAATGTAGTATAACTGGACATAATGTAGCAGTGATTAAAGGACAACACCCCTGGGTGAATATAAAGATTTACAAGCTGTTTTTGTTTGATATTTGGGGAATTATTTACCATTTACATTTATAAGATTTAGATGACGAGGTTGATACCACTCTCATGTCTGTACTGGAAATATGAAGCTACGGCCGGCAGCAGATTGCCTAAGCACAAAGACTAGGAACATGGGGGAAACAGGTGGGCTGGCTCTGTCCAAAGGTAACAGTCTGTCTACCAGCACATCTAAAACTCACTAATTAACACATTATATCTCATTTGTTTATCCCTACATAAATAAAGTGTGAACATGACACATTACAATATTGCTGGGGTTTATGTGCTGGATTATTTCTCGGCCCGGGACAGTATGTTACAAACCCAGTGTGTTTGATAAGAGGTTTATTCAGCTTGTGCTAAATTTCACCCACTGTTAATCACAGAGAGTTTGCTGCTTTACCTTTTTGTGCTAATTCTGTTATTATTTGGGCAAGATTGTTTAGCATTTTAGTAGTTAGCCTTACTCTTCCGTCTTTGGAACACAGAAAGGTCAGACACACCTCAAATAAAGATATAATTTCCAGAGTGAACATAGAAGTCACTGCTGGAGGATCCTCCATGATGAACATCTTAGCATTTAGTGTTTTAGCCAGACCCATGGTGGCGTGAGCCTTAATTTTAATTGTATTGTTGTGCATTGTTGTACTGTTCACAAACTGCAAGGCCTAGCCCAGGTGTGACAGCAACACCCAAACCCCTTGACACTCACCCAGTAAATGAACAGATTTGACATGTATCTTAAATCTACAGATTTTAAAAAAGTACTCAAAAAATTACTTTGTTACAGTAAGGAAAGGAAATATAATTCATCCAGCCTCTTATTGACCCATATTGGTTAAAAACTCCTAAGCCAGCCAAATCCTCCAGTAGCTTTTAAATATCCTGTACAGACATCAGGGAATCTAAATCTTATCATCTTAAAGAACAAAATTTGTACAGAGTTTAGCGGAGAAAGCAACTTGTAGAGGTAAAAAGAGGAACTGGGTGTCATTCACAAAACATTCATACATTAGTGATCGTAATTGCGAATTAAAAACATTGAAAAACAAATCCATCAAATGTTCAGAAGCATCTGTTGTCAGTCATATTCATGCATATGTTGATGAATTCTAATCACTCATAAATTTGAAGCAGGCTCATGCGACCTTAATTTTCATCAATTAACATAATTGCACCACCTCAGAGATGCCATATTAGGCAGTTGGGGAAAAACCCACATCCATAATCTTTAATGGCAAATGGATATTTAAACACAATGAAAAAAAACTTCAGTGATGCAGATATTAAGGTAATATTTTTTGTCATTTAAAGAAAAATTGCCATCAATTTTAAAACAAGAAGGGACATCAAAGCCTCGATTTAAGATGATGCAGGGGGAAAGCTCAGAGAAGGTGATTGATGTTGCATTCACCAAGAGAACCATATAAGAAGTTAAAAGAAAGGATTTCGATTTACTAAAGAGGAACATGTGAAAGTCGCTGGAGGAGGCCAGGAGAACAGCTGCTGCTGCGCTCTGCCAAACCTATGAGCATATCGTTGCCATCACCAGAGATGTGTCAGTTTCTAGTACTGTTGCCATCTGCAACAGAAACTGAGCCCAGCACTAAATCTGTATGCAGGCAGATGGACTTTCACATTTCACCATAGACAGTCTAGATTATTGATCCAGATTACTGAAACTTGCAAATGTTTAGCCCTTGAAAAGGTGCTAAACACTCTGCCATGCACCAGCAAAAGTGAACGATTCATAAAGGGGTCTACTGTGGGTTTCACATATGCTTCACATATGCTCTGAATCAGTCGAGAGCAATTTCTTCTTGAATATACAAATATGTTGGAGCCATTTAAACTTTGATGAGGACCCAAAAGTGCATACATTTCCCTCTTCTCATGTTTTTAACCATCAGCCATGCATGAGGTCACATGGAGGGGTAGAGGAAGGAAAATTCTTTTCTACAGGGCAACATAAACAGCTGTAATGTTTTTGCATCAGGGTTTTGTGCATGAAGAATTACACTGGCCAGTTCAAATTATATGGGGATTTGGCCAGAAAGCCTGTACTCCAACACTGAGCTTTGTTTCTCTGCAAATGTGTCTTTTTGTTTGTGTAATCTACAGAAATTTGTTTCTGTGGCCAGCAAATTGACTGCCTAAAAAACTACACCTGAATAAACACCATTTTCCCTCATACATATCCTCCATAAAGATCAATTCCCTCTGTGTTTAGGCCAAATACACTAAGTTGATAAGGAAAAGTTTCCAGGAACTGCAGGTACAGTTGGTGTTCCCTACATTCTCTCAGAGATCATCTGTCTTCCTGCTGTAGTGCTCAGAGTCCTGCTGCTATATTCCACCAGCCGCCAGCTTAATGAATGTTTCCATCCTTTTTGCCATGATGTGGCTCTTATTTGTTTGTGCCTCTGACTATCATTTATTTGGTTAGCTAGTCCATGGGTGTTACCTTGGCAAGTCATTGAGATATAAGTGAATTAGTCTTTTGGCATGCTATGTGTGTGAAGTTTCTAGTGACTAATGTGACCGTATGGTCATCTGTATGGGTGAGTATGTGTGTGTGCTTGCTTTCCATGAGTTTGTGGATCACTTTCACATGGCATTTCATTTTGTAGTGCATTTATTTGTTTGTTTGTTGTTATTTGTTTGTTTATTTTATCATATTTATTTTTTGTAGGAGTTACATTTTTTGGCAAAAGGCATTGCTTTGGGTTGGGCCACCATAAACACCACACCCCTGTGTTTTTTAAACCCAGCAATACTCTCAGACAAAGACAAAGTCCATTCAAAAGACCACACACCCAAAACAAGAAAAGCAATATAGTGTATGCTGTCCAATGCACTGAGGAATGCACCTGTGAGACATGTCGGGGAAACAAACAAAAGACTACACAAATGCATGGCTCAACACAAAAGGGCCAACCCATCAGGTCAGGACTCAGCAGAAGGACAAAGGACACTCTTTTGAGGGAAATACATTTAATATTTTGGATAGGGAAAACAGAAAGAGAAAGACGAGTAAAGGAAGCCAATTACATCAGAGTAGCGAGACCATCTCTCAACAGGGAAGGGGCCCTCGGACACCACTTATCCCCCACTCACATTTGGCCTCTTGGGACAATGCAATCAACGGTCTTTCACACTTGGCCTCAGGTGACTCTAACAACCATAACGACTGTCGTCACAACAGCCGGGAGCATATACAAACCAAGTGCTATCCATCACCTTGATAATGACCCCACAGAGGTCAAATGCCTGGGACTCTCTGCCAGTCGGTTAGAACTGAAGAAGCCTCTTGGATGAGAAGCGAAATGTCTTCAACCAAGTCTAGTTGCCTTTGATTTAACTCTCAATGGAGTCCACCACTTTAGTTCACACCAAAATATCTCGACAACTATTAACTAGATTTTAATGAAATTTTGTACAGATATTCATGGTCCCCATGAGAGGAATCCAAATGACTTTTCCTCTTACACCACTGTGAAGTTGACAGTTGTGGTTTTAAGTGAAGAATCTTAACTATTTGGAGGATTACCATAAAATGTGCTACACATTTTCATGTCCTCATAGGGATGAACTGCAATAACTAAGGTGATCCACTTTGTATCTAGTGAAATCAAGAGATTAACAGTTAATACTTCGGTTTATTACCAAATGATATATACCATATGATTAACTACGATTGTGGTCATGGTAGAGATTAGATCTGCTTAACATCATCATGTTAGCATTGTCATTGTGCCAAACAATGTCCATGGGTGTTAGTGTATATTGCGGTAGATAGACCAGACACTTTAACATGAACACCAATTCATTTGAAGTTTTACATGAACAAGTTCATCCCTCCCCTGGCTTTCAAAGATCGTATGATAGCTAGGGTGGACAAAGGACAAAAGATGTCGGCAGCCAGTAAAGAAATTAAGTTTCTATAGGTATATATATTAAGAAATTGCTTTATTTTTCAGTGACAGATAACATGGAAAATGTAAGCCAAGATTGTGTAACATTGTCACTGTTTCTGCACCAAAGTCCATTATAAACCTGCATTTTTGTCTGTAGATCCTCAGAAATATTACACAATGAACCTTTAAAGCAACTTTAAAATGGCACAACTTAAGGCTTCCAAGTGGTGTTGATCCATCCTTGAGCTTCATTATTATTATAAATCCTTCACTTCACTTCCTCGGATGGTGGGAGCAGATGAAGACTTTTATGTTGGTTCTTGCAGCCATGGCAATGACCCCTTAGATCCATGCAATGTGAGCATGTTAGCATACTGACATTAGCATTTTGCTCAATGCACTACTGTGCCTAAGTACAGACTAAAAGTGCCGCTAGCTTGGCTGTAGATGCTTGCACTCTAAACATGTTTCTCTGGGACAGCAAAAAACATTGATAGTTGTAAAGGACAGCACATTATTGCCACAGTTTTCACCATTTTGTTTGAACTTTTTGTCTTTCTTTAAATTCCTGCTGTAAGATATGTAAGGTCTGTTTATCCCCACGTAGATTCAGGAAGACATCCTCAAGCTAATGGAAGAAAATGTGAGAGGGAGAGTCCTCTTGTGAGGCACAGTGGTTAAAAGCTCTCATTATTTCACTATTAATTAATCTGCTGAAGCTCCTCAAGCTCTGGGACTCATATCATCAGAAAATCTTTTGTCCCTTTCTATGTCCATATCTCAGAAACTCCCCCACCCCATGCCTCTGCACGGTCTCAAGTGACCCATCAAACAAACAGTTCAGAGCAGCAGCAGCTTCTAAAGAATATGTAACTAACTCATGGCATATTTGAAAGCTTGTTTCAATAAGCCAG